CCGTATTGATGTGACTGTTTGTCCTCGTTTTTTTTTACTTTTTTTTTTCTTTTACTTTTTTTTGTTTGCTATGAGTGGTTGTGAAGACTTTTATCTTGAAAGTTTTGTGACATGCCTTTTTTAGCTGGCTTGCTGCTGTTCATCAAAAAGGCACGGTGGATCGTTGGCGTGTTTTTTTTTGTTTCCCTTTACTGGCGTTTTTCTCTCATTGCTGTTGGGTTTTTTTGGCGCCAGTGGTTGGTAAGTTTTTGAAGCAAAAATGTGCGGATGGGAGGAGTGGATTGTTCAGCTGTTTCTCTGGAGGTGAGGAGCGCGTGAGAGCGTTGTAAGCTAGCGTGACTCTTTTTGCTAACTTGCTTAGCATTTTTTTCGGTTTTTGTTTTCTATGCTCTTGTGCTGTGTTATGTCGTGAGCCTGTTGGTATGCTACGTGTATGTGGAGCTGAACACGACTGGAGTCGAACTCACGTGGGCGGAGCGGGGGGACGGCAATACTGCGCTGTGTGTGTGTGTGTGTGCCACCGCCACGTGTAAAGTTCGTGTCACTGTCGAGTGATTTTGAGGCGGGTCCCTCAGGAAGATGCAGGCGTACGTGTTTGTGTAAGTGGATGCATGAAAGGCTCTGGAGGGCCCGAAGCGCTGAGAGGTGTGTGTGGGGGAGGCAGGGAGAGGGGGAGGGGGGGAAATGGCTCGAGAAAACCTGTTTATATTTTGAAACACAACACAACAACTTGAGGGGGAGAAAAGGAAAAAATAAAGAATACTAGGAATAGAAGCAAGGATTTGAAACGATGTGTTTGCTGGTGATTTTCCCTCTTTTCCTTATTAGCACGCTTTGTTTTTTTTTTTGTTTTTTTTTTGCCTTTATGGTGTATCCGGGTGCGTCTTACACCTTACTGTTTTATTAGTGCAGCTCTTGTCCTGTTTTGTCTTGTTGCCGCTACCACCATCACCACCACTACTTCTCTTTGGTATAACTCCTATTCGCATTCGCGCACGTCTATACACCACGCACACGCGTGTGTGTATAATAAACTCTCATGCCTGTTGGACGCCGCCGACTGAGGTCAGTAACAGTCGCACTATTAGTTGGCGTGAGACAAACAAAAGGAACCTAAGAGAGGAAAACACCACAATAAATTAATCCGAAGGAAAGAATGGATGAAAGAAGGAGAGAGAGAAAACTTTTTTTTTTTTTTTTGAGAGGAGAGGACTCCCGTGGTTGCATATACGGTGTACCTTTGCATGGGTGTGTGCGCGTGTACGTGGCAGAGGGAAGGAGTGCGTGGGCGTGTGTGTTAACAAGGGAAGAAAGAAACAAAAATAAGAGCAAGAAGACGTCTAAGGAAGCTGCTCCTCCACAAAAAAGTCAGGAATACGGGCATATGATGCAATATTCCAAATTGTGTTCGTTTTTTTTTTCGTTTTTATTTTTTTTTTGTGTTTGAGAAACTCTTCGCTTTTGTTTGATTCCCTGTTTTTTTTTTTTCCGTTTATTCATTGTGTGGTCGTGTGGATCGCATGAGGGGACGCCATGTGTCGCGGCCCTATGTCTTTATCCGCGCGTCTTCTCTCGACGACGCTTCAATGTGGGTCAAGTTTGCGCTGGAAGGTTTCTCTTTGCTGATCTCTGATTCTGGTGTGTGGGCCAGCCACGCGACTCTCTCTTTCTCTTTTCCTCACCCTCTTCTTTCTCTTTCTCTCCTTGCCTTTTCTTTCTTGTGCACGCTGGATTTGATCGGCTTGCCTGGTCTGCAGCTGCCTTTACTTGAGTGTTTTGTCTTCTCCCTGGTAGCCGGGTAAAGAGAGGCACGGCCGTGAACAGAGCCCAACTACACAGCAGCTAACGCCACACAAAAACCAAAGAAGGTGGGGTGAGGCACAGTACCACACGGTGTAGCTGTACCATATACACCTGGTGAGTAATGAAGGAGAGCGAGGCCAATGACGCAACGACGCCTCCTACGGTTTTGCTGCCACCCGGCGTGTACGCCACAGCCTCATCTGTGGATGCTGCATTGAGCGAGGCCATTACTCGTGACAGCGCTGCAGATAAGGGAAAACCCTCATCTGAAACTGTAAGACCGGAGTCGATAGAACGTTTTGATAGACATCGTCGTTTGCGCCGCGCACTTGCGGCGAAGGAGGCAACTTTGCTGGAAATCACGCAGCTTATTATGCATGACACCACCCCAGCAAGGGTGTTACACGCTTCCGGGCGACGCGTGGCAACACCCGTCGAGGTTTCTCTACCATCCACGATGGCCGCAACCACCACTACCGCGGACAGTATGGCAGTGAACTTGTCAACAGCAACTCGCCCAACTGAGCTGTGTGTTGCAGAGGCGCACCAGGATAGAGATAACACGAGACTGTTAAAATCCATAGAGGCGGACCATGTGAAAGAACGGACGCGAATTGAAAAACTTGTGTATGAGCTTCGTCGAGAATTGGAGGCAACAGGGCATACGTTGCGCAAACAAACAGCAGCCTTGAAGTCAGTAGGCATGGGAATGGCGCGAATGGGCCCGCATCGATTGATAAAAGCACAGCGTGAAAAGACGACAATGTCGTCGATGGCATCAGAAGCTTCGCTTGAGGAGAAGGTGGGTCATCGTCGTGAGTTAAAGGCTTTTCGCGAGCGGGTTAAGAGTCTGGAGGAGCTTCTTGCCGCTGCACAAGATCGCCTTGAGCGTACGGAGAAGCGATGCGCTGAGCAGCAGGCGACGACGCTACAGTTAAAAATAGACAAGATGCAGGGCGATACAACTCATGTGGTTGGGGCCGGTGGTATGTCATCCGATAATAATTTTTCTGTAAAGCGTGGGACGGCTTTGGCTACAGAACCTGCAGTTCGCAGTCAGAATGAAGAAACCAATGACAAAAGTATTATAAATAGAGTTCGTGATTTAGAAGAAACACACCGTACGGCACGTCGTATGTGGAGTGTGCAGGAAAGTGAATATAGACGCTACATTAGGGCTCTTGAAGCCACAATGTCACGGATGGAACGACATATGTCTGCAGAAAAAGCAAGTAAGGCAACACTGTTTAATTTGACGCTTAGACTTGTCTCTTGTGAGGCATTATTTAATAGGCGCAACAACGGCGCAGGATCTGTTGATCCATTTGTGGTAGTATACAGTCCCAGTGGCGAAAGGGTCTATGAGACGCGTCCGCGAGAAGACACAGACTGCCCGGAGTTTAGTGCAGTGGATGATAGTGTGACACTGAAGGCGGCGCGTGGCTCCTCATGGCATATTTTGCTTGAAGTTTACTCTCGGGGGATAAATAATGCGCGGCTTTTTTTGGGACAAGCAAAGGTCCCCGTGGGGCAGTTGTTGAAAAACGTTGAATCGAGTGGTCTAAGGAGGCATTCTGCAAAACTTAGAATGCGGGATCGTGAGACAGACAGTGAGATAGTGCGGCATGCCCGTCATTTGGGTGTGATTGTCTTTGATGTGACGGTAGCAGTTGTGGGTTGCAGTGCAGCTTGCGATCGTCGTTGGCGCATTCCATCACGTCTTTGTGCGGGTCGACTGCTTTCCCCTGGGTGCGATGGAGAAGAGGAGAAAAACGCTGATGCGGATGCTACGAAGGCTGGGGGACGTGCTTCACCTCTGACAGGACTTACGCTTCGAATTTCTGCCGCAAATGGAATTCTTCAACGCGGACTGGGGGATAATTCACACCCGTACGTGGTGGCGTACGACAGTGGTACGGGCAGGGAGTTGATGCGCACCCCACCCATTGCGGGGGCCAGTGCGCTCTCATGGGAAAGATGTCCTGAAGCCTCTGTTTTTATTCCTTCTTTATCACATCAGGGAAGCATTGTTTTTCGTGTCTTTGATCACGATAAGGACGGCAGGAATGAATTTATTGGTGAGGCACTTCTTTCAAGGCATCAAATATCCACGGGGAAGGAGTGGCATGAACTGAGGCTGTTTCCCCATGAAGATGAACCACTAACATACATACGAGAGTACCACGGTCGACTCGGGAAGTTACTGGTACATTGTACGCGAGAAAGAGAGCCTGACGGTGTGAGATGTACCGAGAAAGAGGAGGGTCATCTGCATCGGCCGCATGCCTTAACAAGATCGTCAAGGATTCTTTGCGATGAACCCGTCGCTGATGATGTGAATATTTTGCTTCAATCTGTCACTGTTCAAATTTATGTGGAGGGTTGTCGGGGCCTTTTGGATCGATCAGGAAGTGGGGGTATCTTTGTGCGTATGGTGGCGCCCAACTCTACTGTGTACACTACCACCGTTGTGCCCTGCGCCTTGGACCCCTCCTGGATGAAGGAAGATGGGTGTGCCACAATGACGTTGCACCCACTAGATTCTGGTGTCATTGGTTTCTACGTAGTGATGTGTGGGTGGCAGCTAGGAAGGAAGGAGGAGACTCTGGGTTACGCCCAACTGGCTGTTGAAGATCTTTTTAGGCGAGGGTTGGGAAAGAAGGAGCTGCAGTTGGAAGCACAACCTCACGAATCTGATACACAGCTTCGACAGTGCCCCACGACAGCCCTAGGAAGTATATTGGTGTCTTTTGCCCTTGCTGAGGTGAGCCCTGTGAACACACATGTTGGGGAGGAAGAGCCAGCTGCGGAACAAGCCTCAGCAATCGTTGCGGCCGAGGCACTCAATCAGGCATCTGTCTCTCCTTTTTCTGCTTCATCACCGACTCGGAAGCGAACGGAGGAGGTGGAGGCCCCAATATCGGTGTCTCTACGCATATTTGTTAAAGAGGGTCATGATCTTTTGGACTGTGATCAGACAATGTTCAATACAATGGGCGTGACGGATCCGCGGGTTCTTGTGTGGGTTGGTCCCGACCTTGCTTTTACGGTTCCTGAAAAACGCGATACAGTCAACCCCGTGTGGACTCAGGAAGAGGCTGAGTTTTTGCTCCGCGTGCAGTCGACACAGATCATTCGGTTTGAGGTACAAGATGTGGACGTGGCTGGGTTTGACTCCATGGGATGTGCCACCATTCACGCCTCCGAGGTCATTGCCTCGCCCGGAGTACACAGCTTGCCGGTGATGCTAGACGGAACGCAGTATGGTACACTGGTTGTCTCGTTTGCAATTGATAGAAACAATCAGTCTAGCAGCTGATGTTCACTTTTTGTTTTTGGGTTTTGTTGTTTTATGGTTTTGTTGTGGTTGCCATTATGGCAGGTGTTCCTCATTCTGATTTTGCTATGAAGTGTGGGTGACTGTCTTTACGGCGTGTGTGTGCTATATTGATGTATTTTTTTTTCCAGGTTTGATCGTGACGGGCAGCCATGCCTTGAGTTTTTTTTTTTTTTCTTGTGTGGTGTTATTTCTTTTTGGAATTCCTTGTTGCTCGTAGGGACGCTGACAAGAGCGAAGAAGGCTGCCGCTGCCGTTGACTTGGCACAGAGGCCCAACCACGACCCCGGTCATAGAGGTCGATTTGTGCGCCGTTGCGTTTCTGACTGTTGCGCAGTGGTAAAATATTGCGAGCATTAGAAAAAGGTGAGACGCGTGCACAGACAGAGACACACAAAATAGTAATAATAAATCACGCGGAGTTTTGGATGTGGGATGGTCTTAAGATGTAATATATATATATACATATATATAGACTTCAACCGGCTTCAGCCTGCCAAAATTGCCTTCTTTGAGTTTTGGGTTGCGTTAATACATGACGTTTGTTCCCCTCCACCCCTAACTTTTTTTTTTTTTTTTGGTTTGGTGTTCGGGATGGGCGAGTTTTATTTTGGCAACGTCGGAGGCTCGAGAGGCCAGGGTGCCAGCAAAGTAACACGAGTAGAATAAAAGGGAAGGGGAGGATTTCCCCCCCTGCGTCTGAGGATGTCAGGGCTGC